GTCCCAGGGACTGTGCCCATGCTGAAAAAGTTATTTAGCCAAAATCTTCATCAAGTTATTGTCCCTAATTGATTTTGAACCAACAGTTCATTCTCAGCTGGAAGTTTTGTTATTTGTGATAATGTAGACCCACTGTTTTTAAACACACCGCACATACACACCATTACAGAGAAAGATAGTTGTCAGAACTTATTATTATGCAAAATCTAAATAGAAATTAACATGAGTAATGTTTAAAGTGAATATCAATTTACTTACCAGTTCCAGATCTTGTGTGCTGATTCTTGCTTTATGTTATATGTAATACTTTGAAGTTGCTTCAGTGGTACAGAATAAACTAATTGAACTGATCGATTTGGCCGTTCTTCTAAAGATACAAGGCATCTATTTAAAGACTAAACTATAGCATTTATCATTGTGATGCAAAATAGACACTTATGCTGTGATTTACATTAGTCTGTAAATGTATTTTTCTTTATTACTTCTATAGATATTTTACTTTTTATCACCTTTCCATATCTTACAAAGTTGAACTGATATATTTGTAAACTTATTTTTTTAGCCAGAAAATAATGTAATGACCCTTTTGGGAAACACTTCACAACTATCTGTTTTACTTACTTTACTTTCACACTAATTAAAAAGAACAATTAACAATAATTAATAGAGTATTTAAAACTATGGTAAAATGGTGTAAAATTTGTGTAAAACATTAAGTTGAGAAAAAATGAAAAATTGTATTTTCAAAACTTTAGTTATGCATTAATGTCTAGTCATAGTTTTACCATTCAAAATCCCAGCCCACATAGAAATCATCCAGCCAAGTTCAAGAGGTGTAAATACCAGTGGTGTAGCCACACAATCAAATTTAGTCTGCCAAAGAAAAGAACACGTGTGATGTGTTAGCTTCTTAGATTTTAATATGAAATATCATATCAATAAAAAAAAGGTCAGACTGTGCACATTTGCCAAATATGTAAAAATGCAAATTATTGTATCTGAATGAAAAAATAAGAAGTGTTTTTCTGAGCAAAAAAAAAAAGAAAAAGGATTTTATAATTATTATTTTATCCCCCAAGTCAAACAAAAATATTAATAAAATAAAAGCTAGACCAGACTTTAAAGGAACTGATTTAGCATATTTTTACAACATTTATTAAACATTTTGCATCAATTAAATATTTTATGAAATATCAAAATACATTCCAAGACTACATAAATTTGTAAAATAATATTAATGATAGTTTTCAAATATTTCTAATTATATTATAATTATTGGTAAATCTTCCATAGATTTGTGAATATGAAAAAATCATTTAGATTCTTACAAGTAAGACTCAAAATTTCTCTGAAGTAAAAAAATAAATAATTCATATAAAAGCTAACAATTAGTAGTTAGCTAAAAGCCAATAGGAATTTGACACTAATCGTTTTCTTTCTAACTATTCAGGAACTTTACATTCACATATAACAATAGTGTTGTTCCTATATCCTACAGTTGAATAGACCTGTGTCCTCTTGTGTCAAAATTAAGAGGACACAGTGGAAATTTTTAGGGATAGCCCTGAGACATTGTTTTTCATATTAAAAAGTGTTACTAATGAACAATTATATTTATGTGATGGAACAGATTTGTTTTAGCACTGTTATGTCCACATTAAAAAAAGTTATTGTTACAATTCTAAAACACTTAAGTTTCCAAAGTAACATATTAAGTAATCTACAGGGATGTGGAACATAAGACGTGTGTAAATTAGCTTTGCTCAACCTGAGACATCACGGGTGAGTGCATCACAAGCACACTGATATTAACATTTTAACAGTAGTTTGGAGGTTTCTTTGGGTTATATTACATTAGTACAGTAATTCTGTGTATTTTACTAGTCATCTGTAATGTAAATCACAATACAAATGCTCTTATCTTCTATTTAATTTCTTTTATGTGTCAATTTACAATAAATGAACCATAAACAATATAGAGATATATTTCATTCTGAAATGAATTAGTCAGGGTTTTCAGTAAAACATAATGAAATAAACATGCTATTGTAAAACAGATCCTGCTTGACACTCATGGTTAGTGCTTCATAAAATGTTTTAACAAAGGCTTAAATACCACCTTGGATGAAGTTTTGTCTTGACAAAAAATAAATAAAAGGCTTTACTATCATTGACCTCTAACAAGATGTAGTTGAAATGCTATTATTCACTGTGCACATTGGAAATGCACTGTTTTAGTTCAAAATGAAGAACATAACAATATTTATTTTCTACTTGTGATAATTTAACAACTTAGTATTAAAGAGGTTGGGTATATTATATTAAAATGATTTTGGAATCTCACCATGTTACTACAGTCCATGACTATCTTGGCAATTGCCCTGCAGTGTAGTTTCCAGTGAAAAAAAGCTTCATCTTAAAGCAGACATAGTTATAGCACACTCCCCCTCCCTGCAGCTTTCCATAACCCATCTTGTGTAAGAGAACAACAATTTCAGCACTCTAATCACACAGAAGTCCATAGACACTGTGTCTGATGATTTGACCAGTATGTCTTTGTTTAAAACAGCAAAAATAATTAATTTATTTTCCATCTGCTTAAGGTATGCAAGGTTGAATGACTATGTTGTAGAAGCAACTTGTGTTGCTTTTCCAGAGGTATACAACAGTTGAATGGGAGGTATAGCTGAAAGCATTATCTTGCTGAACCCATACTTCATTGGTTTCATTTGCAGATGAAGATTCATCTTGATTTTGTTGAACCATAAAAAACACACTGACCTTTGTGTTTATGGATTCTCTCCTGCTACAAGATTCTCCACTTTGCTTACCATAATCAGAGTATGACTTTGCAGATCTCTTTTTTGGTCCTGGTTTCCCAAGTTGATTCAAATTAATTTGTTTTCCAATGCCATTAAGCATAAGGGATATCCTTGTCTTATAAATTCTTATAAAATCTGAACACGTCTACATGGTCTGAGTTTATGAATATTTTGCCTCAGAGAGAGCTATTATATACCCTTAACAAAAGCGATAAGATTTCAGTAACATCACACTACCTCCGAATGCCAAATGATGTTAAAATGTAGTTTGATAAATGCTGTTTAACCACAACTTTATATTGGTTGTAGTTGTTAAATGACTTGCTGATTACCATATTCAAAACATTTTAATATGATATACTGAACACTTTATAATAATGCTGTTTTTTTAATTTAAGACACATGCTTCTTCAAGTACATATTCAGAGAGGTATTTACAAGTGGAATGAGAAGAGAAACACAAACAGCAAACACCTACATTTACACCCTGTTTAATAATCCACAGCATATAAAAATTGTAAATAAAGCTGTGACAACCTAATGTATACACACACACACACAAATATATATATATATAAACGAATAATGAAAATATTTACTTTTGTCATTTCACATTAGTTTACAGATAAAGGTGTTTGAATCACTGGACAAGTCAAGTGCATCTTCAGATTTTTATATATGTATTTCAAAAATATTTTATTTCAGAGTAAACCAAGTAGCATCTTTGAGAATACATTTGAAAACAAATACATATATGGGTTAAATGTATCATATAACACATTTAATTGACTTACAGAACTATATATTAGCATTATTTCCAATGTGTAACAGCACCTTTGTAACAAACAATATAAATTCAAGGTTAATGATACAAATTGAATTTTAGCTGTACATCTACAAATATCCTTGACCAAGGTAATGCTTCTAGTGAAGTGTGCAGAAAGAATCAAAAATTTTAATGATTTTAATTTTATTTCTTTATCAGTTAAAAAAATAAATAAAAGTCACTGGAATGCATAGAAATTTACCTGTATAAAATCTAAAACTTTATAGGTGAATGACACTTGTCCCTTAGTGAGTAAAACAGGCAACTGCGTGAAGCTCTTTGAATCAGCTAACAAGTCAAGGGCATCTTCTGATCCTTCAACACAGCAAAGAATGCCACAGAACACCTCTTTTTCTCCCCCTCAAAGTGCATAAAAAATAAGTTTTCATAAAATATTATTTACATAATAACATAAATGTAAAGTATTTTTATATGATTGGTATTAAAGCTAGTTTTTTGCTTTCACTTCTGTCTCGACATAGTGTCCAAACAAAATTACTCTTAGTTCATATTTCATTGGATGTATATGTTCAATATGATTGCCTAAAGCTCCTTGCAAAAGAAAATAAATTCTGAAAATTTATTTATAACTAAAGCATTGACAGAATGAGATATCCAAGTTGGATTCCAAAATCAAAATAACAAGTGGAGTGTGATTTTGTTGCTTGATATTCTGCAACATCACATTGATACCAGACAAATTAGTTTACTTATATTCAGAGTAGTTGAAATCATAGACCTTGAAATAAGTTCATTGTTAAATACCGGTGATTCAGCCAGTAAGTGTTTTTGTCATTTAACTTTATTTTACTTTTTATGTAGGTAAAGTACCTGAAAACTAAGACAAATTAATGTAATCTATTAAAATTTATAACTGGTTCTTCAAAAGAAAAAGTTTTAAATTCAAATTAAGTTCTTAGAAGTAAACAAACTATTTTCAAATTTGACTCAAGTGTCTATGAATGAGAACATGCATTTCTGAAACTGATCAAGAAATGTAAAATCCAGCTATGGTCAACCACAAAAAGGTAGCAAATTAGGTTCAAAATTTATGATTTCTTTATGCTGTTGTTTAAGTTGTTAAGTCAATTTCTATTAATTAGAAAGAAAAAATTCTTACACTTATATCAAAACTGAGTACATTAATGTAAATTCTACAGCTAAAGGTCTAAGAGCAATTAAACACTGCAATGAAAACTGCCCATGTAATTTTAATGGTTGTATAAATCTACTCTAGATATGTGAAGAAGAAAAAAGTTAAAAATAAAATATGCCAATGTTCATTAATAATAATGATTATTTATTCATAAAACAAACAAATTCATTAAGCTGTTTTAATGAATATCATAATGCTGTGGTCAAATATTTTACTGATATCAATCAGAAAACATGGAACAGCTGAATAACAAAGTTTGATCCCAGCGACAAAGTACACTTTTTCATTAGTTTCCTCAAACTATTTCATCTAAAACAAATCTAAATAGTCTATGCATGTTACCTGTTCATAAACAATAAAATTACTTGCTTAATTACTTACTTAATTATTGTAACAAAGTAGGATCAAAGAATTTCATTTATATTTCAACTTGAAACAAATTGTGAGTAACTTCTTATTCTACCAATGTTTATATTAAAATCAAGAATACTGATAACAAAAAACTATGAATATGTTGATAAAATAATGTTATCAGCATGGTTAAAATCAAGTTTGAAAGACTCTGACAGAAGATGCAATATTCATGTGGTACGTTTTCACAAGTACATTTGTACCAATCAATTTTTGTATCTGCAATCGTCTACAGTTTCTCACACTATAGAAAGACTCTATGCTCATTATTAACACATAAAAGCACTAAATCTAATCCATATATGAATGTAAAGTAATTAGTAAACATTTAGAGGACTTGGAGAAATTAAAAAAACTTACCTGTTTTAGATGCAACTTGTATTTTAATTTCTACTGCTTCACTATCACCTGAATATTAAAAAAAAATTAAGTTTTCATAACATACAAAAAATACAATAATATTATATAAGGTTTCTAACATTACATTACAGTACATTAATGCACCATTCTTTACTGGTTTAAACTTCCAGCCAGTTTCCTATCCAATAAACTAGCTTATCCCTCCATATAGAGGTAGTATTTTAACAAGCCTTTTATGTGTCACCTCATCAAATGCTTTCTGAAAATCCAGATATATAAAATCCACACCTGCGCTCTCATCTATATAAGTAATAATCTCTTCAAAAAAGCCTTCCAACATTATTAAGGCAAGATTTTCCTTGGATGAAATCATGCTGACTATCGAACAAAATTTTAAACTTTTCTAACTGACTTTGTAAAGCATCTTCTATCCAACTTGCAAAACTTTTCCCACCAATGATTTAAGACTAATAGGCCTATAATAACTGGGACAATTTTTATTACCTCTCTTAAAAAGAAAAGTAATATTAGCCAACTTTCAATCCTCTGATACCTGTCTACTATTCAAGGACTTACAAAAAAAATAGTAGTAATTGGCTTACATTTCCAATCCTTCAGTAGAAGCTTAAGATATGAAATGAATTCAAACACAGAATAAAATCTTCAAAATTTAAACTACTGTATAGAGAAAATAAAAATGAAGCCTAACACAAAAAATTATGACAATAAATTTTCAAACTTGACTGCAGAAATCATAATATATGTAATATAAAAATTTCAGAACATTTATTAATGACAATATCCTTTTATAGAAATAACAGCATGAACGAAACTCAGATGAACAAGTCCAATGTGTTTCATTACAGAGCACAACCATAAAACCAAAATACATTTAACATATATTAGTAACCTTTACAATGTTAATTTTCCAGGTGTACATTGTACAACTTATCTTTACTTCAAACTAAATATGTGAGAAATTACATACCTTTCAAACTGGTAAGTCCTTCATACACAGAAAAACATGTTTTTATGCTATTACTTGAGCCAACCATCACACCATATCCTTGAGTCTCTTTCTGAAGGGTGATTATAGATTATAAGCAACTTAAAAGTTTAAAATTGCTAGGAAGAGACTGCACATACATATCAATAAAAAAATAACACACAGATACAATAAACAATGAGTAAACAAATATTCTTTTTCATGAAAATTTGATTATTTGGCAATTTAATTTTTTATAATTTGACATGCAAACAAAAACAAATCATGACTGCAATAATGTTTTTCACAATTAAGGATAATTTCACTTTAATTCAGGGTAATGATAATCTGTTAGCTACAAAACATAGAATAACATATTTGGTACTAAATTAAGCACATAAAAGAAGTGAAAGTCAAGTGTTGCTTTGAATGATACATCAACCATTAAATACCACATTGGTAAGTCTTACCTATTTATCACTGATAAAAGCACCAGCTGCAGAATTCACAGCTTAAAACCCTTTTTTAGAATTCATTTACATTTTTCATTCATTTCTAGAAACATACTGTGCATTTATATATAAAGTTTTTATATAATTAGAAACCTAAAATATTCAATAATATTGGAAAGCTATAACCAAATTTTCAAATGTATTTTATACTTCTTTAATTGTAAAACTTGAAATTGGATTAAACTACAGTTTTTAAGTTTTACTTTTGATTTATCACACTAATTTTGGTTAGCTGATTATTTTCATAACAATAATCAATTTAATAGTAATTTCATAGAATCAATTATTTTGTGACATTAACTAATGCTCATAGATACTCAATTACATTAAAATAAACACTGAACTTTACTTATGTACACTGCAGAAAACAATTAAAGGGTAACTGGAATTTATATACTTAACTTATGGCACAGCAAACCAAATTATGAAATAATGTCCTTCATTTCCCTCATTTAACTTTTATGTGAATCAGGTGTTCAGTGATCTGAAGGTACCACATCTAATTTTTTTTTTATTACTCAAACTGTAATTTCAGTCTTTTAGCCACACTTTAACTTTACACACATGGATTTAAACATTCTACAGTTTGAGTGAAACTTTAAAACTATCAGTTTTTAAAATATAAGTTATTGATTTAAAATTTTTTATGTGTGTGTATCGTAATTCTAGGTGAGCTGTACTTTCACACCAAGATATTTTTGAGGAATGCTTGCGTGGTTATAATCACTCAACCCACACATATAGTCCATCCATAAAGTTTAACATCTGTAGATTTGTTTGGTGTTTAGAGAAAAGCCACATCGAACTATTTCCTGTGTCTACTGTGAGGAGTAAAACCCCGGATTTTAGCATTTTAATTTCATTGATCTACCACTGTCCCACCAGGGGACACACCTGTAGAGGAAATGAAGGAAACTAAAATAACTGCTCAATTATTAAATGGACAAGTAATGTATGAAACTTGACATATTAATTTATTTTAAAGTGAATTAAAAGAAGCTAGCTATTCTACAAGGAAAATACAATAAACTCACAGCCTCAAGTTGAGCCTTCAAAAGTCTTGAATATAACCTTAAGGATGAAGGACTGTAGTCAAACTGGAAAAGAGGGCTGACTTTGTAAATGCGCCATGTTTTGTTCACCAGACCTATAACAAATAATAATGACATTTCCAGTTCTACGTAGAAGAATAGCTAAGTTAAATGAAAGGGATCAGCTATACCAAAATGCGATATAAAATAAACAAGTGCCAATTTATATAAAAGGACAAATCCTGTAAAGGTGTAGTGTACAAGTGGATAAGTTTAGCAGGAAAACACTAGGGAATACTCAGTTCTCCCCATTTCTTTGTGCAACTGAAACAAATGACAACATGAATATAACAAAAACGGGCTACATTCTTTCAATGTTTTTACTGTTTAATACACACACTTTTACATCTTAACAGGGTTTGCTCTTTTGGATAATTTGGCTTCTCTTTTTACATTATCATACTTTTATTGTTACTTGCTTGTTTTTATATATATATATGTATATGTAAAATCAAATCTACTCAAGAAGATTGGATTATCAATGATCCAGGACTACTACAGTGGAAATACACATTTTTACAGTCACTAAACTATTCCACTAATACTGAGGGAAAATAATGTTATGCAATAAAAATAGGTAATCCAAAGATTGATGTATGGAGCAAAACAGTATTAATTTTCATAAAAAGAAGCACTTTATAAATGGTTTAGATACTTAAGATAATAATTAAATATGAACAAGTTAAGGACGACGTTTCGTAAGTAATCATGCACTTGCTTCTTCTTAGCAATGTAGCAAATAAATAAACTTATTTGCACATTTTTTTAAAAATAAAATACTTGATATAACCCTTAATAACAGTTATTCATCAAATCTTAAAGTAAATCACTGAAAAGTCTTGGGTAATGTTTCAAATAAAATGGCTGAAACCACAAAAGAAAGACCTTTAAAGCAAGCCAGTTTTTCATAACTCAGGTATTGTATTTAAAGGGCTAATACAGACATCTTCAGGAAATAGTTATCACAATATGTACATATGTACACAGACATTCCATAAATATATCGTATACTCTATCTGTTAATGATTTTCAGTGATACGAAAGTGAATGTTTAATCATTAGAAACATTCCTGTTATAGCCATATAGTTTCAGCGCCACTGCCTACTTTCAGGTACATTTTTGTCTACATTGTTTGTTTTTTAGAAGCATATTCAGTTGATGACAATTGGAAAGCTGGGGTCTAACCTTTCAAATTATCTCCTTTAGATGTTCCAAAAGCTGTTACATAGGGTTTAGATAAGGATTCTAGAAAGGTTTTCACTAAGTGTTTATAGTAAGCATGCTGGGTGGGTCATGACAAATGTTTAGGAAATGCTTAGGTACTTTTGGCAGCACAGTACAATCTAGTTTAATTATTTTACCCTCAGATGTTTTATATATATAAAATAAAGAAATTAGACTTTTACAGAAAAATCACCTTTAAATCACTATGTAGTATGATAGTAATTTATTTAGTTGGTGACATTTCGAGCAGATGTTCTTTTTCAAGCCAGAAACAAGACTGTTATATAAATATATATATACAGTCATGTGGTTTGTAATGATTATATTTAGATGCTAAAATATTATTTATGTTTTCAAAGCAATGATTTATAAAGTATCAAGAAATAAAAGAAAAGTAGTCATCAAATATGCATAAATTTAAACTAAAATCATTACATCTTAGAACCAGTAACTTGTGCTATATTTCTGTCTTCTTAGGTAGTCTGTCATATTATGAATTACTTCATAAAAAAAATTTAATAAATAGATACACATATATATGGATTTTTCTGTGGATCTATTGTCCTATTACCATACATGCATTTAACAGCCTGTAATATATATATATATATATATATACAGTAATACCTTGATATGCATATATTCGATAAGCAAGGTTTCGGTATAACGAACTTTGGATTTTTTACCATTATTTTACACATAAAGTTAAAAAATAAAGTAAAATAATAAATAAATACAATGAATAAAAAAATAATAAGCTTATTGATATACAGTAAAATATAAATAAGAATAAAATTATAATACGACATGGATTCTTAAGCATTGCACATTGAGATGGTCATATGTTGTTTGTTAACGTTTGTCTTGGCTGTCAGGTTTTGTGTGTTGGCAGGATTCTTTACAATAGGTGTCTGTGAAGCAGAAGAATGCAAAACAGTCCATGCTTCATTCCTCTTCACCAATGGAGGAAGGAGAGCCTCAACCTGGACCATTGCCATCAATAGATCCTGTCAGCCTTCCCCATAACAAGCTTCACATCCCTTCTCCCACAGAAGTCATGAACAGAGCTATGGTGACAATACACTATGATTCTTTTATATATGTCAGTTTTTAATGCCATCACTATAAGGGATTAAAGTATACTAAACTTTAAACATTATATAGGCTACACTAATCTGACGTTTAGGCAGTTCGTTTAACTATTATACGTGATGTACATTTTTTTGGGGGTGGTTAATGAAAATGTTCCAAAACGCGACATTTATTTCTTGACGACCTAATATATATATATATACACACATAAATAGTTTTCAATGTATAGAATGTTTCATCTTGTTACAGTTTTCTACATACAAGTTTCGAATTTTATTAGACATTAAACAATCTACAAATTTATGATTAAATAATATTTTTGTGTGAGTTATAATGTGGACAAATAACAATATTCAGTTAAATTCATTATAGTAAAAAACACCTAGGAAAAAAAAAGGTTTAGTATATAACTTAAAAAAATATGAAACTTTAATGCTTTTAGGATTTCATATTTTTTATTGTATATGTTCAGCTTAAAGTATTTAATGACTTTCACCTCACAGAACATACACAGGTTCTGTAAAAGTTTAGAAAATACAAAAGAGAATTACAGACTGAAACTGGAATATTGGTTCTTCCACTCAGTATCTTAGCTATTGAAATATAAATGTTCATAGTACTATTCACAATAAAAACAGGTAAGTTGTCTCAATGCACAAAACTAACAAATATGTAACACAACAACTACACTTGTAAATATAAAACAATATACATAACTCTTACTTCAATGTATGTACATAAATACCAATTACAATCTCAGCCTGCAGGTAATATTTGGCCAGCAAGGGACAACCAAGTGGTAAAAAAAAACTTATTAAAAAAAAAAGAACATCGTAAGTCAACTTGTGATTAAGATGTGTATTGTTACGACAACAGAAGTCACACAATGCTGGGAGCATGCGCGCTGGAGTTTCTAGAAGGATCATGACTTATCGGGCAACCTCACGAATGTCCCAGCGTCTGCTAGACGCCCTCTTTTTTAGTATATAAGCCGGAGATAGATTGAAGAGAAATAATTGATAATTGAGTCAAGTGAGCAGTAAGCACCGTAAGTAAAGTGTGTGAATCGCTGTGAATTATAGTGTGTGTTTATAAAAGTAGTTAAGTTTAAAGTGACTGTGGAAATTAAGTGTATTATAAAGTTTGTAATGAGAAAGAATAAACTAGCTTTAAGCAAAAAAGGGACTTATTTCGCTGAAGTCACTTGGAAAGAATTTCTATGGGAAATTAACAAACGAGCAGATATGTAATAGTATCTTATTTCTGTATCTTGAAAAGCAGAGCATGCATGAAATCATTTTCTTCCTTTCAGTAAGCCATTCTGCTTGCATAACTTACATAAGCCAATTCCATCAATCTGTATTTTGTGGGTGAAAGTGATATAAACATAACTTTCAGTATTCTAGCAAATAAGAAAAGAAAATGTGATGGCAAAAATAACCAATTCAACAATGAGTAGATGAACAGTAATTTATTTATTTTACCAACTGTACCTAACACACAGTCATTTTGTTTCTGTACAATGAATATATGTCAATAGTTAAGGAATACAATGTGAAAAGATATTTTGAAACCAAACATAAAGCTTTTGGAAATACTTATTCGTGTAGTGAAATATTTTAGATATACTAACACTACTTTACATAATACTTATGCTTATTAAAAATGTGTAGAGTAAAATACTTCTAGCCTGCTTATTCATAACTGTTTCCAATCTCATCCACTTAAAAACAAAAGCTGAAGAACCCTGTGGTAAGAATGGCAAGAAATAGTATAAGGATTGTTCATCAGAAGCTGTAAAGAACATTGCCTGATTTAACAATGTAAAACTATTTTCTGTGATCTAAAACTAAATAACTATTTTTTCAAAGAATACTATATGCATTATATAATTTTTATGTTCATCAGTGTTAACTCCAAAAAATATAAATAGTTATAAATTATGATTCTCAAAATTATTGAACATCACACACAAAAAACAAAACAAAAATATAAATATGCATACAAACACAAATCACTCTGTGTCTTTACAGAAGTTTAAATAAATTCCATAAATATAGGATACAAAGTGTTTCTTGATGCAAAATTTCCTTTCAAATTTGAGCTTCAGAAGGTACTGTAGAAAAAATTTGTCCAAGACTGTTTCATTTTTGTTAACTTGTTTTAGATTTACTAGGACATTTTTGGTTATTTCCAAAATGATTTTCAAATGTAAGTACAAACATCAAACTGAAATGTTATACAAAACTTATCTTTATGGAATTTCTTTGGCAATGTATTCTCTAACAAAAATAATTTACATATATTATCAGTACTTATCCAAATCTTGTTTCTAATATCCTGGTTTTGATGGGTTCTATAAAAATCAAGTGAGGATTATGGCTTAAATATTGTTTAACATTTTCTGTTGTATCTCTAGCAAGTTGGAATTTTTACTCATTAGAAAAACCACTTAGGTTTTCTTTTCTTCATTCAGATAGACAACTATTTGACATGTATGAGTCTACTTATAGTGGTGAGGCATTGCTGATCATATGTAAGAATCTATGCTTAACGCTGCCTTTTGCCATTAAACAAGTATATGATTGTGCTCACTGATTTCAGTGGCGATATACTTCAGACAGATCCCTAACTGAAATGGATTAAAAAGGGAATAAATAAATAGAAACTGCTAAAATTTCAATAATATGTTAGTTAATAATAAAATGGAAAAAAGTTGCTTTGAATATGTATAAGATGAGCTTAATATAAATACTTTGCCTTTTAAGTTAGAAGCAGCTTGCTCAGTGGATTCTATCGTTTCTTCTGCCCTTCCTGTGAGATTTCTCACTCTTGGTGTCTTGCTGTAAGGAGTGTGTCTGTAGGATCTTGCTCTTGACGAGACTGGAAGAAATTCTGATCTTACTTGCGGAGTGGAGTCAAAATTTCTTTGTTTCATGTCTGTATGCTAGATGAAAATAATTACAAAAATTACTAACTTTCCTTTAATAAATTAATACTACAGTGTGTAAAAAAATGTCTCCATAAACCTGTATATCAGGTGGTATTCCATAACAGTTTTCAAATTCAATCTTCTCAAAGCAATATATTAATTTTTGACACATACTTAAATGTCGGGTTACAATGTTTCTGTTACGTCTCTCACAACCAGATGATATTAGCTCCAAAGATAAAATGAAAAACAAATATATCTAAAACGTTTTTAAGAAATTAAATAAAACATGTTATAATAAAATATGTATCAAAGCAATTATCAATCATCTGGACATTTTCTAGAAGCATAAATGTTAGCCTGTACCAACATTCATCATTGAAGAATGGTAATACAACTGCAAGTGTAAAGCACAATATATTTAAAAATATATAATTATATATATATATACTTGGACACCTTATGGGTTAACCTGTTTTAAATTTGAAGAGTTAAAATTAAGAATCCATACACTTCTTCAGCTGTGGACTGATACATAAGAGAGCTAGTAACTTTTTCTCTCTTACTCTCAGGAGAATGGTCATAGGTGATTTAATTGAAGTATTCAAAATCATTGAACTTTAAAAAGTTGCCCGTAGCAGCAGTAGAACTTTACAAATTGCGGTTTAACGTTTAATACCAAGACTAAAAGGGAAATTGATGATTTTTTTAAATGTAAATGGGGGTTTAAATTTTTACATTCATGAACGATGTACAAGAGAAACCTTGAAAGATCAAATGGTCCCTTGTTGTCTGTGGGTTTGTTAATGTATGCATGTTCTAAGTTATAAACTATATCTATTGTCTATACTGGTTTGTAGTAATAGTATTACTATTAGTACAAACGACCCTTCGGCATTGAAGGCTTGCGACTCGTTAGATTTGTACTGTTGACATTGTACTTGTAGTCGTAGTTATAACAACGTACCTTGTTAGTTAATGTCTAATATGGAAAATGCAAACATAAAAAGTATAAAAAACACATTTTTAGAACGATCATATAATCTCTCTAAATGCTGTGTACTTTAAAAAACTTGAAATACATTCAGTACTACAGCTAACATGTTCTTAATTGTAATAAAACTTACTAAGTAACAGTCGACCACTTTCAAAATTTGGCGCTGTTATCAGCTATTAATACGTCTACCTGGTACCAAAATATACTATATAAATAAATTATATTTATATTTGAAAAATTAATGATTAATAATATCTGATTAAAAGCAAGATCCGAAACAAAAAATAAATTATAAGTTAATGAAGACAATTCTAATACTATATTAAGCTTAGTTTTGCGCCCGTTATTCTTTTATCTATTTTTTTTTACATGTGTTAAATAATTATTTATTTTCTCATTTGAAAATTAGATGGTATTTTTTTATTGGTAAAAGCCAATGATAGGAATTAGCTATATATTTTTTATTAAAAATTAATAGAAAAAAAAATTATCATATGTAAAGTGTACTATAAAAGATAAATACTGGTCTGTCAATAGTGTACGTTAGTTTAAAATTTTATCTGCTATTGACAGTGTTGTTATCGAGATATGCGTTTGCTGTATCGTTATTAAAACTTTAAATAGAAGGTCAGTGGTACTATTAATTAGGTGAAACTTATAGAAAAGGGAAATTACATTGTCTTAAAGATTATACCCTATTTGTATTATTTTATACATTAGTATTAGTGGGAAAGAATACTGTAGGTGTTTGTAAATGTAACATGTATTTTGTAAGACTAACAGTTTAGTCTGAGCAACAAACAGAATGAGGGTAGCAATCTTATAATGATATAGGCGCTGCACCTGTTTGTTATTATTTGCAGTGAATTATATTAAGTATTGGATATATCATTATGATGTCATATTACCTAAATTTATCGATTTATATTTTGTGTACTGTGTTTAAATTATATAAAATTCAGAATTTATTATACAACTGCACTAAAAATTTAATATTTTTTATGAAATATAATTTATAAAAAAACAACAACTTTGAAGGTGGTCAAGCTGAACCAGCCATTGTATAATGTGCTAGACTATGGGTTTGTAGTATGTAGGACCATCATTCACATTATGGTACTCTCTGCAATAAAATATATATTTAATATAATATAAGGATGATTGTCAAATTCCACTATTCAGTTAGCCAAGAGTTTGCAGTAGCTTCATTGTCTCTAGACTAGTGTAGTGTTTTTCAACTACCAGTCCATAGACCGGTGCTGGTCCGTCACAACCACCTTTCCGATCCATGGGATTTCACAAAAATTAATAGAATATTCATATATAAATCATAGCAGTTTCTAATTGTATTTGCATTTTAGTGGTTTGTGACAGTGTAGAGAAGTAGTGAGCCGGTCCTTAGTATCGAAAAGACTGAGAAATTTTGCTCTAGTGTATCAGTTGAAAATTATGAATGGCTGGTGTTGATAACCCTTGAGTAGCTTTGTGTGAATACCTCAAAACAAACAGTTAGGTCTTAAGCCTGATACAAAAAATAGATTTAAAATATATAGAAATTAAAACTTATCAATTCTTATAGATTATACTATTTATAATTTTATTCATAAAATGTTCTTTGGAAGAACAAATAAAATGTATGTCTGTTACCAGCTTAAGTTGATCATTGAGTTTGAGGTATTTTTTGTGATGTTACAAATACAATAAACTTAAATGTAAATACCATATGTAGTTTCTACAAGTTTTATTACTGTGTTGTAGTATAAATTATAAATAATTCTTTGTAGTGAATTCATATTAACTTCTGATTAAAGCAAGCTACCTACATAGATCAAAAGTTTAAATCAACTCAGTTATGGGTAGAGCTAATTATATATTTGCATGTTCTTACTTATAAAGATTAGAATGTAATGATTCATTGTTGGTAACTCTTGCTGATAGCAGTATTTTTGGCTGATCCCGATAATAACTCATGAGGTTTGGCCAACTTAGAAGATCTAGGGTGATCCTAAATCCATATACTAGGATAACAATGAAAATCAATCTTTATAATAAAAAATAATACAAATATATATTAAACATTCTAACCAATACTTTTAATGAAAGTAGTATTAAAGAGATTAGTTCTGTATTCTAACATATTATATAGCTCTGAATTAAAAGAAATATGGTCATTTCTCAAGTATATCACTAACATATGACAAGAATGTGTCTTTCTTACATCTTTTATTTTTGTTTTTAACATTGAGAAATTCATCATTTAAAGAAACTTTCTGAGATGTTTTGAATTAATACATAAAATGAAGGGAAATGTATGTCAGTTGATTATGCTTCTCACTTAGTGTGATATTAACAACTGTTTTATCATACAATCGCTAGGTAACAAGGGGAAAATTATTATTTCTTTTTGTGTTTTTAGTGTTATGACCATGTGGAATGTATTTAAATTTAATTGATGCCAAAACAAGCTATTAAGATCAAGATAAATGTATATAATATCCAAAATACTGTTTTTCTTTAGAAAAAAATAAATAAAATATGACAGATCGATACTGCATCATCCTGAACAAGCTACTCACCACTTGTTTAATGAAATAAATGCAGACATTTCTTATCAACCATCTTGTCCAAGGAAACTGTAGATGATTGAAAGTATTTATAAGAATGCAACGTTTCGCTAAATGTACCATAAAATACATTACTTAAATAAAGTATGTATATGGAAGAAATGATACACATTTTTAGGTATTTGCTTGATTTTATTCTCTTTCATACACAATGATTTTGGTGTAAGTTGAAATTTAATTTAATACAGTATGGATATTGTTGAACTAAAATGGCTGTTATATTTTGTTTGATAATAGAATTACTTTCTACATTGCTCCTTATCACATTCTGGTAAAAATTTCTACTTACTATACTTTTTAGCAATTGTATAGGTAATGGTCTAGTACAGTGGTTGGCAACCTATGACCCGCGGGTCACTTAGTGACCCGTGGCTAATAATTTGGCTGACCCGCCAAAAGTTAGGCTTCACCACTTGCAACCCCGTG